TCCCTGGAAGATAATTACAGACCTACGCTGAGCACAAACGTATTTTAAGCACAGGGACATCCATGTGAGATTACATCTAACAGACATTTTCCCTCACTGCTATAAGTTGTCAGCTACAGTGAGAAATGTTTTATTGACTGTCTGTGTGACCTTTAGCGAGAATTTTCTCTGCGTCTGTCATGCAGTAGCGTAGGATTTACAAACCCTGCTCAGAATTTGGTTCATCTGACCCCTCTGTCTGTACATTGAAATGAGCATCACACTGCTTCACACCTGCATTGAGTGAGGTCTCAGTTCAGACTCTTCCTGGGTTTCTGGGTTGTTCCCTGCTTTGTGCCTTCAGCCTCCAGGATCGTCACCTCTTTGTCCAGTGCTTACAGAAAATGGATGAATTTTGCACACTATTTATTTGATTAATTTTTATATATTTTTGTTTGTTTGTTTGTGCATGCTTCCTATTTGCACTGGTTGTTTTGTTACACTTTTGTTTTATTTATTGCATCGCTGCTTTTTAGGACTTAGTACGCAAGTGTTTTACTCAGCTGTGATTTGATTTGGATGTTTATATTAGGACTTTTCAGTTCAGTTACCTCATTGTGTCAAATTGCATGTTCCAGCTGAATTGTTACTTTCTGTCCTTTTTGTATCGCCCTTGCCTAATTTTTGCTTTTGTCTTGCCTTTTGGAATTGGATCCATTCTCCAAGTCGACTGCTCCTGACATGATCGGGCTGGAGATTAGGCTTGCCCACTTGCCTGAGGTGAGTAATTTTGCTGAAGGGTGAGTACAAAAATCTGATGGTAGCCCACTAGCTAGTAAAAAAAATGTCAGACAATAGTTTTTACTGAGGTAGCCCTGTTGGTTAGTAGCAAAAATTTTAAGTTCTGCGCCAGCGTATGACCTGAAGTCCACGATTTGACTATGGTTTTCGGATGGTGACTTGGATTCTGTTCTTGGCACGTTACACCTGGCTGTTAATTCACTGCCTGTGTTTGGACCGTGGTGGTTTTTGGGAAAATAAACCTATAATTTCCAAGCTTGGATCATCTCCCATAGTTTTGTGACACAGACTCGTAACGCCACTGTACACGTGTAGGCAAACGGCTGCTATCCCTCCCAATGTTTGTTTTTGTACCTTTTGTTTGCCACAGTGCGATCTGTATGCATGCCAACTGCATCAGCTCTGAAATTCGATTTCACTTCATAAATTATTGACATATCCAATTAAGATATGCAAATTTTAATTGAATATCTGTATTTTGCTATTTAACTTATTTAAACCGAGTCATATTTCCTAGAAAGGTGCAGAACCTGACTTGAACAAAGATTTCACACGTTTTTGAAAGATTTTCTTCATTTTCTTTTTGCCATTCTGAGAAAAATGTTTATATATCAGTCTCTTAACATCTACCTCAAACATACTGCACACAATCAGAGAGATTTTTTACAGAATGATTACTATCACTATTTTACTTGTTATTACACCACATCTTCTATGTCTCCTGTGCCTTCTGTCATCTTGTGATCTTGAGGCCTCTTTAAGTTCCCTAAATATTCTTATGTTGCTCTTCAGGTCATTGAATAGTCTTATTAGGTTCTTCCTTTGTTAGAAGCTGTGTAGCTCCTGCTCCAGTGCTGCTCCAGTGCTGCTCCAGTGCTGCTTACACTCGTACCTGGACATTCACTGGAAGTTTAGCCTGGCTACACTTACATTTAGTTGATTCCTTGACAGCACGTATGTTTGTTATGTGCTGTTTGCTTAATTTGTATGTCACTGTTGGACAGAAGCATCTGCCAAATATGTTAATTTAAATGTAAACAATCTTCTATGCATTTCTAGAAAGATCTACAGGAAGGGCACCACACAAGCCATGCATGTGAGGCAGCCAAACCGACTCTACTTTCTCGTTTCCAGATTCCCATCATGTTACTGCCCGTCTGTATCTCCCCTCCGTCTTCCAATCCACTTCATAATGAACTGTCGAGCAGCAATGACCATGCTGATTGGCCGATCACTTCATCGCCTGGCCCAATGAACGTTCTTTCAGACTCTGCACCCGGTAGCTCACATGTGGATCTGAGGGCATAACTTCCATCTGCCAGGCATTATTTAAGATTACTGACCTAATCAAGTCAACCGACGGAGTTTGGCTAAAAACAAGAAGCGCATCCCTTCCACTGGGATTTGTGGGCCAGGGTTTGGACAGCATGCAGTAAAACTGACAGCCATGGGCTTTTTAATTGGTTCATATTCTGACAAAGCTTGAATGTAAGGTCCTGGCTCTGTGACAGGAACCGCAGGTCCATTACATGGTAAAGGTTAAGGATGTATCTAGGTTACTAATACAACTTGTAAGCGGTGTGCTGTGCCACTTAAACAAGGAGACCATTTTTCCTTAGCAGCTGTTTAATCTCCTTGGGGAGGGAGAGATCTGAGGCGGAAGATAATGATGTTGAGGTCAGATATCTCGTGTTTTTTTGCCTATATGTTTGTCGTGCAGCAGTCAAGCGAAGACAAAGCTAATTGGTTTGTTTTTTTTTGTTCGTTTTCAATCTAAATGTCTGGAAAAAATGTACCATATGGCCTTGACAAGATAAAGGAATTGATTTACATGTTGGGGAAGAAAATACAAACCATTCTAACGGTATTAAACAATTTCAAGACCATTGTTCATAAATCTAGTAAATGTGTCAAGGAAAAAAAAAAAACAATATAAATCAATTTATTTGTATTTGGCCACAAGTGAAATATACAAAATAACGAAAACACAGACTAAGCAAACAATTAAAACAAATTTAAAATGAAAGTCCTATGGTACATTAAAAATCAAACTTAATTAAAGTGAAAACTCCAGCTGATACCAAGGGACCTTTCCGAGAGTCGAGTTTCTAATCACAATTAGCAGAATACTGGCATGTTGGAGGGGTGACAGTCACACAGGGTTACAGTGACAGTTACGTTACGGAATTACACAGATCAGAGGCCAGTCTGATCAGAGTGCTGCTTAATTCTAAGTATGTGGTACTTTTTAACATAGCATTTTATGAAACACCCCCTGCCACAAATCCAAAAGTATGTAGATATTCCTTTTAGTTAGAGGAATTTGCTAATTAAGCCTAACCCATTGTTGACTCATAATTAGGCACTCGGGCGTGGAATCTCCTGCCTAAACGTTGGCAGCAGAATAGCTAGTCATCCAGAAAGAGTAGGTGCCTTTCAACTTGGCACCGCCTTAGGGCACAGTCTTCGCAACAAGTAATTTCGGCAATTTTCTGCCCAGCTAAGGCAGCTCTGGTCAGCAGCAAGTGAAGGGATTGCGAAGTGGAAAAATCTGAGGGTACGTTTAGGCGCAAAGTGGTCGGCCAACCGAACTCACAGACAGGGACTTGATCACCCAACGTCAATACTGAGTGGCAGCAGATCCCACCAGCATTGTTCCAACATCTAATGGAAGGCCTTCCCAGAAGAGTAGAGGCGATTACATCAACAAAGTGTGGACCAGTGTCATCATAATACTCTTATGACATGTAGGTCAAGCTGATGTCCACCTATTTTTAGCTATATAGTCTACAAACATGCATAAACAAACATAGTAACCATGATGCTCTTAGAAATTCTTCCTCAATACGTAGCACTATAAATAGGTTCTAGTCATCCATCCACAAGAGGTTACAGTAGATGGACGGTTTCAGTCGTCATAAAAGCAGCAACGTCCTTTTAGAAGCAGCAATTGCTGGTGTGGAGTACGGACATGGCGCCAGAGTGCTGTAACATAACCCTGCGCGATACCCTGCGTGGTATTTCTTTACAACCTTCCTAGATCCATTAGCCCAGCCGAAGAAAAGCCCTATCTGCTCAAGCTGTTCCCTTCACAGAAGCTTTATTTCCATTCAGCAGCGAGTGACGCGGCGATGAAGAACCTCTGCATACTTTCTGTTGACAGAGGGCACAAGGCGCCTTTTGACCAAAATTGATTACGAGTGGAAGAATCCCGCCAAAGGGTCGATTCGTGTTTTCGGGCCCGTCGGGAAAACTTCCACGATCCGGGGAAATCCGCAGGATCGTCGAATTTCAGCAAAGTCCAGGTGGATTAAGTCTCCCGTTGCAGGCCAACACCGGAACTAATGAACGGGATCTAAATCCCACTCCAGCCCCTGTTCTGAAAAGCCCAGCAAGCACTCTGTCATGCAGAGCTCATTTGCCCTGGGAATTACAGCCACCATCTCCTACAATTTGCAGTTGTCATTTTGTTTCAAAGGGGAAGGAGAAGTGACCTTGGAAAAAGGCTTCCTGCGGCATTTGATACTTTACCATTTTATTGAATGTTTCTTTAATGCCCTAATAAATCCCATTCCCTCTCTTCTTTACACCTCTGGGCCGGCAGGCTATCCGGTTCAGGCAGTAAAGCTGAAATATCCCTCACTTTTCGGAGACGAACGCTGACACCCAAGGCTGGGAGGTGGACCGGATTCACGGAATCCCGATGGGAACACAAAACGGCCGCGCTTGCCGATACTCGGGGCCTGAAGGTAACAAAGTACCCCCTTATTTATAAGCACCCCCTGCCCTCCTGCCCCGGCCTGGTGTACATTTTCACTCACACTCGCTGAGTAACAATCAGCTCCGGCGTTATTACAAGAAACCTTATCTCCACATGCCCAACTTGGCATCCCATGTCTGTCACATTCAAATTAAACTTTACTACAATCTTTACTACAACAGAGTGCAGTAAAACGATTGGTGGAGCAGCAAAAGCTGTTGTATTTCTCTGCTCATATTTTTCACACTCAATGAAGACTAGAAATCAGGATCTGGATGACATTTACAGCACACGTAAATATGCTGACGATAAAACACAATAAAACTATCGGCTACAATATACAACACACTGCTAACTGCAGGTTTTATAGGTAATTCCTTTATGTCACTTTGAATGCAAAATCAGTAAACAATGTTATCTTGACTTATGAAGGTTAATAGACTATTTCAGTGGTACTTACTGTGGAATTCTCAAAGACCATCTTCAGACTGTCCAGCGGGATGTCAAACCTCTCTATCTTCTTGTTGCCTTCTAGGTCCTCTTTTGCCACCTCGTTGCTGGCATTGTCACCCTGGGGTCTGGGGATAGATGGGGACGGTTCACCCTGGGGTTTATTTACTGACTGAAGTTCCATCACTCAAGGTATGGAGGGTAAAAGTCTGCAATCGTTACGGGATTCGAGAAGCGGGGAGAGAGAGAAAGAGAGAGGAGCAGTAGGAGCAGCTGTGGTGAAGGCTGTACTTTCCGTAATGTCTGTGGGACTGCCTTTTGCACAGCAGGCGGACAGATGTACTGACTGGCTGGCCTCGAGTGAACCTCTGAGAAAGGAAAATGAAAACAATAAGAATTCCTGCTCAAACTGGGAAGAGCCGTATAAAATGAGAACTCAGGGAGAATGTCGGGGGGAGATTTCAGTGCCCAGCCAGCCCAGAGTGGCTACGTAGCCATTCGTCTCCACTCCCACCGACGTTTCAGGGGGAGCCGAACCTCCCTGGACTGGGCCTACAGCCAGGCTCTGTGCTCCACACTCATCATCTTTTCCTTTACCCCCGTCTCTCCAGCTGGCCGCAGAGAGAAGGAGAGAGAGAGTGACGGGGAGTTGGGGAGAGTGTGTGAGGAAGGGACAAAGACAGAACGTGTGTGAACGAGAGACAGAGGGAGACAAGCAGAGAAAAGGAAGGATGGAAGCGTGTTGTGTGAGATAGCCACTCCTGGCCTGTGGAGCACCAACATGCCATATTACCGATCCGCAAGACACTACAATGCACATGTATATAAATAATAAAGCCATGATCACATGATTCATGGAACATTAAATGGGCTCTCCCAGTCATAGCCCCCCCGCCCCCTCCCCCCCAACAATGTCACTATAGTCTTTTAGATGCTTGGGAACAGGGCCCCAGGCAGGCAGGGAAAATGCAGAGCAAAAACTCAGACCTCCTATCACATCCATCCGAGCGCCCAAGGGTCCCGGTGACAAGATTGTAGGAAGTCTGTTATTCCTTAACAAATGATGGAAGTGCTCTAAACACTTAATCTGTCGTGTCACTTGCTGGTTTAATTGTCTCGTTTTGTTTTAAACCAGCACATTGACTTAGAGCCTGTGTCCTTGAACAAGCATATTTCACTCATGATTAATGCTGCATTACACTCAACAGTTCAGCATGACTTTTTCCCAAAACACATTGGCCTCAAACCGATTTCTGAGACACTAAAGACAGTCATATGAAACTACAAGTATCTAAGAATCAGAAGTTCCTTTAAATCGTTTTGAAATGACGGCTTATTGACTCCCATTGACGCCTTTCTGCAGACAAACATAAACACTGCATAATACTGAAGCAGAAGTTCTTGTGGACTCAAGCTTTTTTATCAACATGCCAGTGGGGGACCACAGATTATCAGAGTGTCTCCTTTACAAACCCATTGCTGCTCCCTGCAACCTGTAGCTGAGTCCAAAGTTCTCATCTAGAACTTTCTCCTGCATCACCTGACTTACTCAAGTACTTAAAACAAGGGGCTTCCAAAAATAAAAATTGCACCCCAAGAAAATGCACTTAGGAAGTGCCCTGCAGAAGGATTGTGTAACGTCAGCCTTCATGCCAGCGGCTGAGATCATATGATCATCCATGCCGTCAACGACAGAGACGACCTGCGGCTTCGTTCGTCTTACCTCTCTGCTTTGGGAGCTCCCTTCATCCGACTTGGAGCAGGGAGAGGATGAAAGTGGAATTAAAAGCTTGGAGTGATCGAGAGGGAATGATCTAGCTGTCCCAGTGAGCGGCCACAGCGGATAGCATCCGATAGCAGAGCGAGGATACGGAATAGCCTACGTCCACCTGAGCGGAATGCATTATTAAAGAAACCCCAGAGCGACTAGCGCCACTTTCTGTTGTATCCTATGTCTGCGCACAGTCCTCATCTTACATGATTTTTTTATTTTTTTTTGCAGGAACATGATTGGTGCTCAGTGCACTATGGCTTCCTGTTCCTGCCGCCTTTGAAATGGTGCCACATTTCATAATCTTACCATGGGACCAAAACATCTACACACATGAAGAAAAATTGTATTTTTGTTAGTCAAGTCTTATGTCAATGACTATCTGATGCCTTAATATGTATTAAGTTTACATGTCGTGCATTTATATCCTTTTTGTTATTTTTATTGCACTCTGAGCAATGAGGAATAATATTTCATCTCAGCAGAAGCACATTAAGGTGGTCGGGGGGCCTTTTTCAGCTGTCAGAGGCCCCTATTATTTCTTACGATGGTGTAGTTGTTGATCAGATGGGAGGAGGAGCTTAAAATTTTATTATTCAAGGTTAATTGAGGCCCCCTTGTAGCAGCAGCCCTTGGACTTCAGCCTGGGTATACCCATGCATTAAAGCGCCCCTGAATCTGAATGACCAAAGAATCACTCAACAGAGACAATGATACAGATATTTTGACACGACTTTAACCTGCAGTTTTGTCCACTTATGCATTTCTGTGAGATCTAAAAGCAGACCTGACCACAGCACATGAAAGAGTATTACCAACATGCATCACTGATTGCCAAGACAAACTGCATCACGTCCAAAGCCCTTCCTACAGACAAACTGTCAAAGCTATTAACAACAAAGGCTAATTTTTGGAGGGAAAAAAAAGTTTTGAGAAACAGCGTGTTAGTAAAAACGGACAAAAGTTGTTTTATTGTGAATTATAATGATTATCAATTATTAAACCAATTTTCACTTCAATATCAACAGTAAACAAATGCCAGTAATTTTGGGTTTTGTCAAAAAAGTAAGAAAGGATTTCAAGCTGTGCATCCAAAACAGCATGTATAACATCTAAAGGCATAAAGACCGCATTCCCGGGAAATAGTGATGCAATGTCCAATTTTCCAAGAGGTGTATGAATTTGAAAGAATGCAGAGTATAAGCCACTGAGAGGAGCTGACTCTGACTGTATTGAGCGGATGACATTTAAGTAGATCAGAGATCCTGCAACTCCTTTCATGAAGTCCATACTCCAGCTGTGAGTCGTTTAAGCAGCACGATGGGGAGCTGACAGGGATGGTTTGTGTTCCCTCACAAAGCTGCGGCTAATTGTTTACATTCAGAGTTGTTTACAGTGTTCCTGTCTTCCCTAGACGCGGACCGTGATAGATTATAACCGCCCGACGCCGCTGAACAAGCAGGCGACGTGATGGAAATCAACGTTAACGCTACGTAGACTGCTGAGATTCCGATGTGGTAACTGCTAATCTTTCGAGACTGTGTTGACAGGGGTAATTGTTTCCGAGTTGTTACCAGTCAACACCTGAATACTTTGAAAAATAACCTTGAATATTAAAAAAATCCTACAGTATATGTAACAGAAAGACGTAATAAAATATTGTACATGAAGCAACCAAGAAGCAACCAAACAAACATTAACCATATAATTGTCACAAATGGTATTGAGAAAAACTTTGTTTTATACTTTTTGACTTTGGCAGTTTCTAAATTTCGTAAATAGGGGAGGCCAGAGACAGCTGCTGATTATTTTCATTTTTATGAAATGTAGAAAAATGACACAAAGGAAAAAAAACACTCTTTCCTTTCTATGTAAAGCTGCACTGGTTTTCTAATCATAATTTTGGGGGAATCTAATTTATGCAGTAAGATCACTGTATGCCTTTGAATTGACCCTGTTCAAAAATTGTGTCCTTTCTCCTCTCCTAATAAAAATGTAATTATTAGTGTGTGTTTGTATGCATATGTGTGTGTGTGTGTGTGTGTGTGTGTTGGGGGGGGGGGGAAGGTCAGGTGACCCAGTAGGGGAGTTATGCCTCTTTCCCTTTCCTTTTATTCCCAATTGATCCTTGGTGCCCCCCTCCCCAGCAGGGGCTGCTGGCCAAGCTCCCAGCTATAGCCCTGACTGGTCCAGCACCCCTTTTGATTTCCCTCTTTCCGTCTCTCCCCCCGTTTGTTTTCGATCCTCCCTATCGCTCTTGTCTCGATCATCTCCACTCCCAAGCCCAAAGCACATCCCTGCTCCTCCCTCTCATCCCCCTGTCATGTGATCTGCTTACAGCCATACCCCTGTCATGTGATCTGCTCGGCAGCCATCCCCCTGTCATGTGATGTGCTCGCAGCCCCACGGGAGCAAGACTTCAGAGCATAACACACCGGAGAGACAAAATTCAGTCTCGAAATCACATGCAAGAGTTGCATTGGGTGAGCCGGGATTTGGAGAAGAAAATCTGCAGCTCCGGTGCTTGACAAACAAGGAGCAGAGAGAAGGAACCTCATTTCCAGGCTCAGATGGTGTCCATCGCAGGCCCCAAGGGCGCATCCAACTCATGTGAAAGAAGAGCAGCACAGTCTAGCAATTCACAGTCTAGCAATGAAGCCCATTCTCTCAGGTCCTGCTCTGTGGGCACGTTCTTATTCAGTAAAATTAGGGAGACTTTATAAATAAAGTGTTGGTCAAAGTTTTTGACACTCTTGCAATTTCAATCTTCTTTCAAAATAAATGGATTAAAAAAGCAAATGGGCTCCTCAGTATTAGTTTCATTTACACCCCCCCCCCCAAAAAAAAAAGAGTTAAATGTTGTAAAATGTAATATTTTCCTGGAAAGACCCTTTAACCCTGATAAGAAGAATGGATGGATGGCCTTGGAGCAAACGTTCAATATCCAATAATACAAAACAGCTACTAAAGGAAATTGCTTATCTGGGTTATGCCCTTGGGCTTATTAAACTTGCCTTTGCCATCCTTCCTCCGCTGTTGTGATTTCTAAGCTGGGATCCGGCTGATTGAGGGCCATCGACATACTGTCAGGGATTCTCGCGCTGCTATTTGCAATGCATTTGGCAGCAAGGCCTCAGAGGCGGAATTAGCAGGGAAAAGCTTTCCTTCCTGCCAGTGCGGAGGAGCCGATTGCTCTGGGGACAGTCGCTTCAGGCCGGATGAGGGTGAGCGAGGGGGGAGTTGGGGGCTGATTGAGGCATGCGGGGAGCCCAGCTGATGGAATCAGCGGAACGGGGGAGGTTCGGGACCACTGGTTGTCTAGACTTCGTGCTCCCTGGGTCAGGGAGAAGGTTTGGGTCATCTGGAGACATAGAGAAGTTCTGGAAACCCCAGGGTGAGGCTTAAATAAATGAAACTTTATGTTGGCTTTTCCCAAAGGTCTTGACCAGGGGTCACCACCCCAAATAACGAATAAAGAGTCAGTTTTCTCAGTTTAACAAAATCACCCAACCACACGAGCCACCGGGGGTTTTGTTCAATATTCATATTTTTTGTCTTTCGTAACATACACAACAGTCCATAAATCTTAGCATCAAACAAAAAATAAACAAGCAAACAAATGTCTTCAATGAAGTTTTAAAAGAATCCCATTGCCTCAAACAAAAGTAAATATCA